TAGTTTCCCTTTTTTTTTTTGTCGCCTTTTATTTCTATTTGTAGCATCATTTCCTACTTGCCCGAGGTGTGGGCAAGAGTACATCACATGATTTTTGTATGAATACTATGTTATCAGCGGTTATTGATGTTGAAACTTGTTTCTCCCAGTGTTATTTCTCATGTTCATTTGTTTGATAGCGTAGGTCAATGTTATTAGTCCCACGTGCTTGATTACAATGATCGATGGCCTTAGCCTATGCTATGACCATTTAGGTCTTTCTGCCTAGCCCCGTGGGCCGAGATGGTGTTGAGAGAGGAGTGTATTGGTTAGGGTCTTTAGTCGATCTTTTAGCTTTTGAAGGCTCTCTGCCTTGCTCTATGAGCTATGTCGACCATCAGGAGGCGGTTCGATAGTCAAGGGCCCCAGCCAGTTTTTTTGGCTTTCCAAAGCTCTCCACCTAACCTTGTGGGCTACGTTGACCATTAGGAGGTGATCTGATAGTTAAGGGCTATAGCCAATTTTTTAACTTTTCAATGCTCTCCGCCTAACCTTGTAGGCTATGTCCACCGTAGGGAGGTGGTCTGCGGTTTAGGGCTTTAGCTATTTTTTTGACTTTTCAAGGCTTTCTACCTAGTCTCGTGGGCTATGTCAACCATAGGGAGGTGGTTTAGCGGTTTAGGGCCTTAGCCAAGTTTTTGATTTTTCAAGGCTCTCCGTGTAGGCTCGTGGGCTATGTCGACCATAGGGAAGTGGTCTAGTGATTTAGGGTCTTAGTCAATTATTTGACTTTTTAAAGCTCTCCGCGTAGCCTCGTGGGCTATGTCGATTGTAGGGAGGTGGTCTGGCGGTTTAGCGCCTTAGCCAATTTTTTGACTTTTCAAGGCTCTCCGCCTTGCCTCATGGGCTACGTCGACCGTAGGGAGGTGGTCTGACGGTTTAGGGTCTTAGCCAATTTTTTGACTTTTCAAAGCTCTTCGCCTTGTCTCGTGGGCTATGTCGACCGTAGGGAGGTGGTCTGGCGGTTTAGGGCCTTAGCCAATTTTTTGATTTTTCAAGGCTCTCTACCTTGCCTCATGGGCTATGTCGACCGTAGGGAGGTGGTCCGACTGTTTAGGGTCTTAGCCAATTTTTTTACTTTTCAAGGCTCTCCGCCTAACCTCGTGGGCTATGTTGACCATAGGAAGGTGGTTTGGCGATTTAGGACCTTAGTCAATTTTTTGACTTTTCAAGGCTTTCCGCCTAGCCTCGTGGGCTATGTCGACCATAGAGAGGTGGTCTGGCGGTTTAGGGTCTCAACCAATTTTTTGACTTTTCAAGGCTCTCAGCCTAGCCGCGTGGGTTATGTCGACCATATGTCTTCACAGGATGAACGTGGAGATTCAAGATTGCCTGTTAGCATAAAAAATACTTGGATTCGTGGGCTCAGTAGGCGCTCCGAGATGTCCCAGCTAGGCCTTTCCGTAGCGCCCTCATCATCCGCCACTGCCAAGGTCTTTCATTGAATAAGATAAGCTATTATACCTAAGGACGCCTTTATGAGGCGTTACATGGAGAAAATGAACAATGCAACCTATTCTACTGTATTTACAAAAGAAACAGCCCATTTTTCTAATTTGCTGATCTACTGATAGTACTTTTTGAGATGTTCCGCATTCCATGGCTTCCCTTTTATATCTTTCAGACTATAGGTTCCTTTTCCGAAGCTGCGGATTACTTCATATGGTCCTTCCCAATTCGGCCCGAGCTTCGGTGGGGGGTGTCCTGCTACGGCTGCATCTCTTAGTACAAGATCCCCTGGTTGAAAAACTCTGGATTTTACCCTTCGGTTGAAATATTTAGCGGCCCTTCGCTTGTATGCTGACATCTTTATCGCTACCCTTTCTCTAGTCCCTTCGAGTAAGTCAAGTCCTGCCTTGGTGGTTGCGACGTCAAGCTGCTTGGTTTTTATTCAACCAGTCTCACTCAAAATTTCGACGGGGACAACTGCCTCCATCCCGAATGACAACTTAAAAGGTGTTTCACCAGTTGATTCCCATGGGATCGTATGATACGCCCACAGTACATTGGGCAACTTGTTCGCCCAAAGTCCTTTCTCATTTTCTAGCCTTGTTTTTAGATCCCATAGTACGGTTCGATTGGTCACTTCAGCTTGTCCTATTGACTGAGGGTGAGCGACTGAAGTCAACCTGTGGTCGATGTGGTAGCTTGTGCAAAAGGCTCTAAAACTGTGATTATCAAATTGTTTGTCATTATTTGTAATGACTACTTTGGGTATGCCAAACCTGTATATTATATTTTTCAGATGAAACCTTACACCTTTGTTGTTGTGATGGTGGCCAAGGGCTCAGCCTCTACCCACTTAGTGAAGTAGTCTATGGCAACTAGCAAGAACTTCCTTTGCCCCTTGGCTAGGGGCAAAGGCCGCAAGATGTCCATCCTCCATTAGAAGAAAGGACACACCCCAAAAACTGCCGTCTGCAGCTCGGCTAGAATGTGGATCAAATTTCCATGGCATTGACATGCATCGCACTTCCTCACCAACTCCTCGGCATCTTCTTTCATCCTAGGCCAATAATATCCTTGTCGTAGTGCCTTGAACGCAAGGGCGGTTGCCCCTTGGAGGTTGCCACAAATTCCTGCTTATATCTCGACTAGCACCTCTCATGCTTCTGTTGGCCGCAAACATTTCAAATACAGCATTGTGAAAGCTTGCTTGTAAATCAGTCCATCGATGATCGCGAACGAGGCTGCCCAAGCCCTCATCCTTTTTGCCACGAAAGCATCTTCCGGCAGCTTGTCATTTGTGAGATATTCAATCAATGGGTCTATCCAACTTTCCTCATACTCGACATTTACAACATCAACAGCATGTTGGATGCTAGGTCACCGCAAGATTTGCATGTTTGCTGTGCGAGGCAGATGTCTGGGGTTAGCGGATGCAAGCCTAGCTAATGCGTCTGCCCGCTCATTGTCTTTTCGGGGGACCTTTGTTATTTTAAACCTGGTGAATTCCTTTTGCAAATTTTTGACCTCCATCAAATACGCGGCCATCTTTCCGTCTTTTGCTTCAAATTTCCCTGTCACTTGCCTGACTATTAACTGAGAGTCACTACAAATTTCTACTGAAGTTACCCAAAGTCTGGCTATCAGTCCTAAACCCATGATCACCGCCTCGTATTCGGCATCATTATTGGTAGCTGTGAATTCAAAACGCAGCGAGTATTCCAACTCTTCACCATTTGGTCCTATCATTACGATCCCCGTCCCGAATCCCTCGTCGTTAGAAGATCCGTCCACAAAAATTTTCCAATCTGCCTGTTCCCCTGGCAGGTGCTTAAGTGGAATGGTGAGCTCAGCGATGAAGTCTGCTAGAGCCTGCGCCTTAATAGCCATCCTTGGCCTAAACTCAATATCAAACTCACTTAACTCGATTGCCTATTTCAACAACCTCCTAGAAGTTTTTGGTCGATGTAGGATCTGCTTGATAGGTTGGTCGGTCATTACTTGTACCGTGTGAGATTGAAAGTATAGTATCAGCTTTCTAACTGCAACAATTAATGCAAACACTAGCTGCTCAGTCAGGCTATATCTTACCTCTGCGCCCTTCAATACTTGGCTCACAAAGTAGACCGATTTTTGCACCTTCGAACATTCTTTTACCAGCACCGCGCTAACTGCCTGTGGTGAGACTGCCAAGTAGAGATACAACATATCTCCAGGGCATGGACTGGTCAAGATCGGGGGCTCTTGTAATGATTGCTTCAAGCACTTAAGCGAGTCTTCACATTCCTGGGTCCACTCAAAATTGGAAGAACCCCCTATAGCATTGAAGAAGTGGTAGCATTTGTCCGTCGCCTGGCTCATGAAATGATTTAAAGCGGCTACTCGCCCTGTTAGCCTCTGGACCTCCTTCTTACTGGTGGGACTTTTCATTTCTAGTATCGCCTGAATTTTGTTCGGGTTCACTTCGATGCCCCTTTGCGTGATCATGAAGCCTAGGAATTTTCTTCCTGCAGTACCAAAAACATACTTCTCTGGATTGAACCTCAATCTGTTCATCAAACACTTTCTCAAGACAGGCAACATGGTCATCAGTTTTGGCACTCTTGACCACCATGTCATCAACATAGGCCTCTACAAGATCCCACTCAACCCACAAAAGACTTTGTTCACCTTTCTCTGATAAGTTGTCCCGGCATTTTTTAAACCGAATGGCATGGCTGTGTAACAGTATGTGCCAAAGTCTGTGATAAATGATGTATTCTCCTAATCGGACTCGGCCATTGAAATTTGATGGTATGCATCTAGATAGCTGAGCCTTTCATGACCCGATGTGGCGTTCACAAGGTGATCTATCCTGGGAAGCGGGTGTGAGTCTTTTGGGCATACCTTGTTCAACCCAGTATAATCTACACACATGCGCCACTTTCCGTTTGACTTCTTCACAAGTACAATGTTTGCCAACCACTCAGGGTATTGCACCTCTCGAATAAAACCCACCTATAGCAATTTTTCTACCTCTGCTCTGGCTGCGACCTGCCTTTTCGAGGCAATATTTCCTTTTTCTGCTTCACCGGCTTAGCCCTTAGTTGGACACCAAGGCGGTGCTGTGCGATGGTCAGGCTGATCCCTGGGATGTCTTCTAGGCCTCAAGCGAAAACGTCCAAGTTACTGGCTAGACATTTTGTCATTTTTTCCTTCTTCTCGATTCCAGACCCGTTCCAACACTAAACTCCCGTCCCTCGGCTATAAAGATTTTTTCAATCATATCGAGCGGCTCAATCCATCTCCTTGAGAGTTCCACATCCAACATCATGATTGGTGGTGAGCCTTTAGCCTGTATACTATCCACATAGCATTTCCTTAATGCATGCTGCTCTCCTTGCACGCACTCGACTCCCTTGTTAGTTGGGAACTTTATAACCTGATGGTAGGCTGATGGGACAGCACTAGCTGCGTTTAGCAATGGCCGGCCATAGATGGTATTGTAGGCCATGGGGGTCTTGACAACCAAAAAGTTAGTCACAATTACCACTGTCGCTGGATATGTGCCTAGCGTAACTGAAAGCTCTATAGTTCCTTTTCGGTATCACTGTTGCTTCTCCAAAGCCTTGTAGAGGGGTAGTCACAATCTTCAACTTCTCGGGGAGAATCTTTAGACCCAAGAAGGCATCCCAGGTGAGGACATTCGCCACACTTCCCCTGTCAACTAGCACCCTCTTCACATTAAAATTCGCTACATCACCTACTATCACTAAGGTGTCATCATGGGAATGCGTTATACCGATCAAGTCCTCTTCATCGAAAGTAATGCTCTGGTTGCACCTTGCTTTTTTCTGGATAGACCAGATCCCCACAGAATGCGCATAGCTCTTTCTAGCAGAATTTGAGACGCCGCCCGATGTTACACCCCCGATGATCATGTTTATTACTCCCGTCCTTGGCGGGGGTCGATCATCGAGCCTTTGCTTGCCCCTGTCGTTTTTTACATACTTAGCCAATAGTCCCCGCCTTAGTAGGCACTCAATTTCGTCCTTCAACTGCAGACATTCTTCGGTATCGTGTCCGTGATCTCTATGAAAATGGCAGTACTTACTTTGATTTCTCTTGCTGGAGGGAATCAGCATCGGTTTAGGCCATTCGAACTCTTTCATGTGCTGTATTTTCATTAATAACTTTGTATGTGGGATGTTCAAAGGGGTGGGCGCTTGTACCTCCTCTCATTTCTCCTTGACTGACTCGTCCTGGGCATAACCCTTGTTCACACGTTCATTCTTCGGCTTATTCTTATTAGCGTGCCTCTGCTCATCATTTGTCTTTCGCTTATGAGCTTCCATCTCCCATCTATCCTTGAGATTTTTAATTACCTTCTCCGCTTCCTCTGCATCGACGTACTTGTCTCCCTTCTTCAACAGGTCATGCATCGACTTCGGGGGATTCTTGGAGAGTGACATCTTAAAGGCCCGATTTTGCATTCCATTCATCAAGGCGGTAATCACTACAGACATTTGCAAGTCCTTTATGCCAAGAGTCGTCCGGCTAAACCTAGCCAAGTATTCCTACAATGACTCACCCTTCTCCTGTATGACCTGCATCAACCCAATGGCCGTCCTCCTCTTCCTCTTGCTGCTTAGGAAGTAAGCCACAAAGCTCCTGGAGAGCTCATCAAACGTCTTGATAGACCACAGGGCCAAGGTTGCTACTCAGTCCCCGACCTCCCTCTTGAGTGTAGGGGAAGGACCAGCACATCACTGCGTCCGTAAAGTCTTATCAGATCTACAAAGGTCCACAAGTGGTCAAGAGGATTCGTGACTCCGTCATATGCTTCTATCATGGGCTGTTTGAAGCCTTTAGGTAAGGGGATCGCCATGATCTCAGGTGCAAATGGGTCTTCCTCCAAAACCATCTGCATCCGCCTATCCTTCTTCTTGTATAGTGCATCATCTATCTTCTGGGTCATAATTTCTTCCGTCTTTTGTTCCAGGTCTACCATGGCCTGCGGGGGCTCTGAGCTACGACCACTAGTGCCCCCGAATCTCTCGTCGCCTGTTGAGCGATGGGTGGAACTACCACGGGTGGCGCTTGAGGTGACTGTTGGTTTGTCACTTCTGTCGGGCTCAATGGGGGGACCGCGGCTCTCTGCAACTGGTTTTGTAAGAGTGCCATCATTGTTGCCAACTGAGTCTCCAAAGCGCTGAATTGACTCTGCGTCACATATTGTGGGAGCGGCGGTGGTTCGTGACCCCTTGCAACTGATTCCGACTCTGTCTCCACCGTATTCCCAACCAAACGAGTATCACTCCTTGTTCGTCTTCTCGACATAGCTTTTTAGTTCAAATTTTCCCACAGACGACGCCAATGAAATAGTGGCAGAGTAATGTCTCTTGAATCTATCTGCGACCTTTAGAGTTTCTGCTACGTCGACAGATATGTGTAACCTGAAGAGTGGGGGTGGGGCTTTCTCCCCCGTTTTACCTCCGGTGTGAGAATCAGTAGGTGTGTTAGGAGGAAATAAATTCGAAATTCAAATTGCTAAAAAATATGCAATCATCTATACCTGTATCGCCCTTGGGAGGTATTTATAGACGTCAGAAGTCGAGTGAGAGCCGGGTGGCTGTGGTGCCACGTGTCCCACGTTGGCCTTCCCATTATCCCCCCATTCTCAGTGGGGGGTTTTAACTACCCCACGGAGGTTGTGTTCGTGGTGACCGCCATATAACTTTGTTAATTCATCAAGAATTTTGAGGCTAAGTGTTGAGATGCCCTTATAGGTAATTCCATGTCGGTCGCTGGTCTTGTATAGAGGTAAAGTGCCCCCGAGGGGTCGACGGTCTCTCGTAGAGGTAGAGCGCCCCCATGGGGTCGATGGTCTCTCGTAGAGGTAGACACAACCCAAGGGTTGATGACTTCGCATTGGCGTGTCATGATTTACATTACCTATCTTTGGAAGCGATTTCTTATGTTAACTAATATCAAAACCTTATGTTTTCCATGTAATTATAAAACAATTAGTGAACATATCTTGGTACACAGCAGATTATTAAGGAGATTAAACCTGCAATACATATACAATGAAGAAACGTGAGGCAGAGTTATATTCGCACCACAATTTCTTATATATTCAATTTGGTCCATAATATTTATTCATTATTAGATTTATGTTCTTAACTTGTTTCGTCACGTCTTTCATCAAATGAAAAAAAACTTGTCCTCTATGACCGTTTTCATAATATATATATTTTAAAAACGATGGACAAGTATTTAATCTTAATTTTGAATTAATTCTTTTCTTATTAAATACATGAGTGGAAAATAATTGGATTTGAACAACAATGGGTTATGAACTTTGCACTCAAATTTCATAATGATCGGATCATGCAGAGCTGAGATATCAATATGTGATCACATCTTTACAAAATATTCAAATTCTACGAATATTTTGCACTGTAGATCTCGAATTTTTACATCATTTTCTTCATCATGTGAACGATGGGTTGTAGTCGATAAATTTCGTGGGAGACGTATATGATCATTTGGATTTAAAAAAAATAGAGTTTGGCTTAATAGAAGACACGTCGTGTGGAGAGAAGAGCTTGGCTATAGGAGGAGGTGGGGGCACAATAGGTAGGGTGAGAAAACTTATTTTATTTTCTATTGGGTCTCCGGTTTCAGCTCCATTTTAATGTAAGAATGCATTTTAAAAGTAGTAGATTGATAAAAAATGTGTAGTTAAAAAATTATAAAAAAAGAAAAAGAAAAGAAAAGAAAAGGAATTGGGTTTGTGTTTTGATATTATTTTATTGAAAAATATGTAACTAAAAAGAAGAGAGAGAAAAGTGTATTTTAAAATAATGAGAATCAAAAAAGATTTAAATTTTTAAGCTTAACCAAACGTGACGTTACTAGATTGTAGTGTTTTGCCTTCAAAGCAGAGTCCTCACGAGCTTTTTAGTCCCCTCTGTCTAAGTTGGAGAAGCCCTAGAGTTAAAAGCAGGCTTCTCTACATTTCCAAGGTTCTTCTCTCCCTTTCTCTTCATATATTATAATATTGCGAAATTTTTCTGCGTCTTTGTTTGTTTATTTTGTAGGTTTTTGATCTTTACACTTCGTATTCATGTCGTTTTTCACTCTCAAATCGTTGAAATTTGAATAAATTACTCAGAAATTACAACGAAACGACTTAGAGTGCATTTTTTTTTTTTTTAGCTTTATATGGGCTTAATTATACATTCAAGTACAGACTGCTAATTTTAATTTTTCTGGGCACGTTTTTGATATTTAAATGCCATGTCTTCTTTATGCGTCTCTGACTCTGTCACTTTATTTTGTAGGTTGCTACTTCCTCAAATTTTGTTGTTTTTAACTCTTTTAAAGCGGTAAAACCTGAATAAATTTTTGAGACAATACAAGGAAACGACTAAGAAAGCTTTTTTTTTTTTTTTTTTTTTTTTTTTTTGGGGGGGGGGGGGGGTTGTTTTTCCCTTTTTCCTTTTGTTTATGAGGGCATTTGATGGTCAAGGTTTTGAGTGTGATATGTTTCTCTACAAAATTTTTTATTTGGATTTTCAAAAATATTTGGGAAAAATTAATTGATAAGGGCTTTCCGGATAACAGAGTTATTAAATCTAAAATGAAAGAATATGTTCCAATGGAGATATGAACTAGTTTGCATGAAGTGGCAAATGGGGTTTTTCTACCAGGAAATTTAAGAGCAGTAGTTGTATTTTCTTTTGTTTGCTTATTCTTTTGAAATTAATTGTTTTTTTTCCTTCCTTAAATGTGAAGATTTGTTTGTTATCTAAATTTTTTACAAACCTATATCTTTCTTTGTATACTGGTTGCATATGATCTTCTAATGAGAGGATTTATTTGTGCTTTCAAATAGTCATTTACCTCATTTTATAAAAAATAGTCATTTTATAAACATATAAAAATAGTCATTTATCTCAGATCTTTAAGCTAATGAATTATCAAAAAAAGAGAATACACAGGATAAATTCTGATAAAATCATTCTTGGACTGTTATGGATTAAAAGATTTTCATTTGACGGTGAGATCTATAAGAAAAAAGTGGTAAGAAATCCATGTGGCTGCAAATTATATAGTTAATAGAGTTTTTCTTCTCTCTTCAAATCATATTTTTTTTCAGTGATCTAGCATGAGGAAAATTTTATCTTTCTGCATTTGTCTCTCTTGTAAAGTTCTACTTTATGTTCTGCCATTTACCCTGTTAAAAGAGCTTACACCATACCCAGATACAAGCATAACAAGAAAATATAATGTTCCAATCTATTTTTTTCTATGCTTTTGAGTCTCTTGCTATGTCAATTTCAATTTTTCTAATCCAAATTTCAGAATCTGTGGAAGATGTCTTACTCATCTGAAGACGAAACAGACATAAGTGAATCTGAGTTAGACGATTATGTGGATAGATGCTACGAACAATTGAAGAATGCCCCTAAAAAGGTTCAGTATTCAGACGAATTATTCAGGTGCCCTTACTGCCCAGGAAAGAAGAAGCTGGTCTATCCTTTTAAGGACCTTTTTCAACATGCCTCTGATGTTGGCAGTCGCTCAATGAACAGAGAAATCAAAGACAAGGGGAAGCATTTAGGACTTGTGAGGTACTTGAAAAAGGATATTGGTGGGGAAGATATAACGTTAGAATTTGCTGGATTAGCTATTGAGCTGCCCAGAGACAGTGCTGTAAATGATTTGTTTGTATGGCCTTGGATGGGAATTCTGGCCAATGTTGATGTCGAGTGCAGGGATGGGGTTTATCTAGATGTAAGTAGTTCGAGGCTTAGGAATGATCTGGCTTCGAAAGGGTTTAATCCAGTACGGGTTCGATTACTGAGGGAAAAGAATCAGTGTAGATATGCGATAGTGGAATTTAAGAAAGATTGGTCTGGATTCTATAATGCGATGATGTTTGAGAAGAACTTTGAAGCTGATCATCATGGGAAGAAGGAATTTCACATTGCGCCATATTTGGATGATAATAAGTTGTATGGTTGGGTTGCCCGGAATGAGGATTTTAAATCCGAGGGGGTATTTGGTGACTTTCTACGCAAGAATGGGGACTTGATGAGTGTTGCTGATGTAGAATCTCAAGAAATCCGGAAAACTGGACAACTCATCTCCAATTTGACTA